TATTTTCTTTTATCAGACAAAACATCTTATGTGAAGATTTCCTGGTCTTTGCTTCTCTACAGAAGTAATCCAAAGTATTCAGATTACGTTACTCACTTTAAGTAAATTAACGGATTACGTTACAAACTACATTCTGGGGTGTGTAATCTGTAATCTGTAGGGGATTACATTTTAAAAGTCACCTTCCCAACACTGTCTATAAATAAGTAGGGATGTATCAATAACCGAAATATCATGATATCGTATCGTCAGAAGTCTCACAATAATATCGTGGGCTGTCACAATATATCAGATTACAAGTTCCTTTGCTTAAATGCAGGTTTTATAGAAGTGACATCTTATGAACATCGGAAACTACATATCCCATGATTCATTTCACTGCAGATAGCATCAAGATATATGGTTTTTTACTTAAATTCTTGGGATTATGATGGAAATAATTCACACCAAAATCTTGTCAGGGTATTTAAAAAGCAAAAAAGAGTTCAATCTACAATTATATTATATCAGCCTCTCCAAAATATAGCAATAAATATCGAACCGTGAGCTGTATATTGTGAAAATATCATATCGTGAGATCTGGATATCATTACATCCCTATAAATAAGTATATTTATTTTATGTTTTAAATATAGAGATTGGAGAACAGCTGGATATAGAGTTTATATTTGTGTTTTTCTGCCTTATTTCATGTTCAAAGTATATTTTATTTATTTTATGTTTTATACATTGCAAAACTGCTCTAAGATACAAATCTGTAGCCTATATTTAGTTTAAATTTTTATTTGAAAGTTTTGTGTAAATGATCAATAACAGTGCTTTTTTGAGAGAGAAATGCTGAATAAATGCATCATGGAACTTAAAATGTTATAATTTGAATTGTGAACTGTGTAGGGCTGGGTATCGTTGAAAAGTTACTGATACGATACATATCTCGATACATAGGCCACGATATGATACACTTTTCTATACAGTGAGCTTTCCATTCAGTACGATTCGATACAATATATTTCACATCGATTTGATACGGTACAGTGTAAAAAAGCTAAATGTTGGCTCTAATACTAAAAGTCCACTTAGTTTGTGAAAAGTAAATGTGAAAAACATCCATCTGACTCAAAACAGTAATAATGTCAACACAACTGTAGCTCTGACACAAACTAATTTAGTGAAAATATACCTAAAATACTCTTGAGGATCTATCGATACAGCAGCCCACAATATCGATAATGTATCAGCACATTAAACGATACGATATATCGATATTTTGATATTTTTGCACAGCCCTATAACTGTGATTTCAATATTGACCAAAATAATCGTGATAATAATTTTTTTCCCATAATCGAGCTGTAGGAATGTAACGATATCCAAATCTCTTGGTACGATATTATCGCGATATGCATCTCACAGTGTGATATTTATTGCGATATTTTGAAGAGGCTGATAAAATTGTAGATAGGACACTTTTTTTTTTTTTCTTTGCTTTTATACCCTGACAAGATTTTGATGTGAACAATTTCCTTCATAATCCCAAGAATTCAAGTAAAAAACATCTTCATGTTGTCTGCGGTGAAATGAATCATGGGATATGTAGTTCCCGATGTTTATTAGCTATTGGTACTACAAAACAATGCATTTAAGCAAAAGATTTAGTAATTTGATATATTGTGACAGTCCGTAGTATTATTGTGAGACTTTTGACGATACGACATCATGATATTTCGGTTATCGTTATCGAGCAGCCCTGTTTAAATCCATATTGTGGTATAAAATTAAATAAAAATGTAAATGTATAGTTAAAAAAAAAAAAAAAGCATAATACACATTTAACATTAACTAGTGAATTTGAATTTCTTTTTTTTCTTTTTAGGAGAAATGTGTCCTGGTGTGGATGGGTCCTGACAGGAGCACTGGGCACCTGAGGACCCGACTCCAGACCTGGACGTGTAATCACGAGTACCTACATGAGGATTAGATTGTACATGTTACAGAGCGATGGGGGAAAACTCCACACGCCCCAGAATCACACCCAGAACCACCTACTGTGACACAGGAAGAACTAACCACTCACCACAATCACATTTCAGGCTTAACTGTCATAAACAAAAGAACAATGACAGGAATTACATGTTTATTCTAACTATGTAAAATACTGAAAATAATATAAAATGTCAAATTAAACAGCTACAGAATTAAATACACAATAATTAGTCCTGGCTTTACCGAGGAGCCTGGAGTAATGAACTAATCAATCATTTGTTCACAGCGTTGTAACATAACTGATGTTCTGAGGACAGACTCTTTAAGCATCAAACATGGTATAATGTCGTCGCTTTGTTTTCATCCACTTTTGTGATCAGGTCAAGAAGAGAAAAGAGTACAATTTTTATTATTCTTGTGGTGGCTGAAGTGGACTGACTTATTCTTTCATTTCCTGTTCAAAATTGCAGAGCTGATTTTAAATATTCTCTGTGAATGACATAAAGCAAAGGGCCAAATGAACCAAAACCACTTGTTGTTGACCACTGCCTCCTAGTGGTGAGTTGGCGGTAGCACCAGGCTTGATTTAATAGAGCTGTACTTTGTAAATGGATTATAAAAGATGCCCTGTTCACATCTAAAGAAAACAGCTCTCGAACAAAACCAGCTATGGACATAAAAACTAGAGCAAAATGAACTAAAAATCATTTCATCATACCTTATTTGTGTTAAACAACTGAAAACATGAGCATGTTTGATGATTTATATCCAATGCTTTATTAATACACAACTGTCAACTGCCAAACTTCACTCATTAATTCTACATAAATCTGCAATGTTTTTTCAGTCTTCTTTATTTTTTCAGACATTGACAGCCCAGGTCTGTCCCTGATTGGCTAATCCACCTGTCAATCATGCCCTGCAAGTGGGGACATTCACCGCTGACCAGGCTCACATCTTCACAAAGTATTGAAGAAGTGTCTATTCTGGATCCCAGGCAAGTTTTTATTTTTTATTTTTTTTTTAACAGCAAATTGAAATAATTGTACCAGTATTACTCCAAAAACATCACGCTTCATTGTCAAACTGATTTATAATGAATGTTCCAAGGCTTATTAAAGGGACAGGGGGCTCTGACAAAGCTGTTTTACTGTCTTAAATAAATGAAATATTGACTCTCTGTGGCTCTCTGCTTCTAAAATGGTTCAAAACGTGGGCCTAAGTGAAACATTGGGAGTGCAAGTATCTGTAAACTGAGTATTTGATTTGATGAGGATTACTTCAAATGGGACACAGATGGTGATGTTTATGCCATATTTTTCAGTGAGCACTGATTAGATTTGCAATGTGAAAATGACAAAAAGACTAAAATATGAACTGATAAATGAAGACAGTACATGTATAGACAGTGTTGGGAAGGTGACTTTTAAAATGTATTCCCCTACAGATTACAGATTACACACACCAAAATGTAGTTTGTAACAGAATCCAGTAAATTACTTAAAGTGAGTAATGTAATCTGAATACTTTGGATTACTTGATTTTCTGTAGAGAAGCAAAGACGAGGATATCGTAACATAAGATGTTTTGTCTGATAAAAGAAAATAAAAAGCCCAGACTTTACTAAACCGAATTAAAAATATTATTGATAGAAGAAGAGACACGTCCACACAGCAGGATTTAGTCCTGTTCAATCCTGTTTTAGTCCTGGTTTAGTCCTGGTTTTAGCCCCAGTTTAGATCTAGTTTAGTCCCGGTTTAGTCCTGGTTTAGACTTGGTTTAGTCCTAGTTTAGACCTGGTTTAGACCTGGTTTAGATCTCGTTTAGTCCTGGTTTAGATCTAGTTTAGACCTGGTTTTAGCCCCAGTTTAGATCTAGTTTAGTCCTGATTTAGACTTGGTTTAGATCTAGTTTAGACCTGGTTTTAGTCCCGGTTTAGTCCTGGTTTAGACCTGGTTTTAGTCCTGGTTTAGACCTGGTTTAGTCCTGGTTTAGACCTGGTTTAGTCCTGGTTTAGAACTGGTTTTAATCCTGGTTTAGTCCTGATTTAGACCTGGTTTAGATCTGGTTTAGACCTGGTTTTAGTCCTGATTTAGTCCTGGTTTAGACCTGGTTTAGACTTGGTTTTAGTCCTGGTTTAGAGTCCGGCAATGAGTGGAATTACAAAAAAAAAAAAAAAAAAAAAAGGGATATAGCCCAAAATGTGAAAACATGTAATCCATTTATTTCAACAAATAACTGTAATTACCACTCACTGAAACAGTAACTGTAACTGAATACAGTTACTCATAATTTGTACTCTGATTACATAACTCTGGTACATGTAATCTGTTACTCCCCAACACTGTGTACAGATCTAAAGCACACATTTAGCAGTTTTATGCAGAATAAGACAAGAGTATAGAGTATATTGTGGTGTGTGGACAATGTGATGGTACTTCAAAAAATAAAATTTAAAAGTCTTTGCGATTTGCTAATTGTATCGTGCATTTTTAATCAACTGTGAGCAATATTGCAGCTATACTACATCTCATCTCTGATCGTCACAGCCTCCTCTAACCCCTGAACTTTGCACCTGAGAGCCGTGAGGTCAGCCGCTGCGTTCTGATTGGCTGTGAGTCATGACCTTGGCCTGTCTGATTGGCTGCAGCCGTAGCCCCTCTGCCCTCGAGGAAAGCTAAGTCTGAGCATCCACTTAGAGCAGCCCAGGAGCAGATGGAGTCACCGCACCATGCTTATTTTTGAGCTGTTATTTTGACTAGTGTACAGGAATGACAGGAGCTTTCATAACACACTTGCAGCAGCTGTATTGTATAATAAAATAATGATAATAAAAATGTGATTTATTTTGACCTCAAGGGCTGTTTATATAATATATCTGTTCTCGTGAAATACACATTTAGCTCTAATACCTGGAATAAATCAGGAACAGGACCTTCAAAGGAGACATATCTATAAGATCCAAACTAGATTAAGAGGAGAGGCTCTGATGTAGATGAAGATTGTCTTGCACTCACCATATCTTTGAAGGCGTTCTCTATGGCCCCGATGACCAGGCTCTCGTGTGAAACCTTCTTCTCACTAAAGAAGCGTGCGGGTGGAGCGTGAGGTGACCCCGGGGCCCCAGCGGCTCCCCTCAGCGACACAGCCCTGCTCAGACCCTTCTGCGCGGGGGCCAGGTGCTGGTTCAGAGGCTCCTCCCCCAAACAGGTAGGGGGCGCCACACAGGGGGTGAGCAGGATGTCCATGACCTCCTGAAGGTGCAGAGCGATGTGGTGGTGCAGGAGGTGAGACGCCATGACGGCCACTCCAGAGCCGGCGTGCCCATCGAACAGGGCCCAGTAATGGAAGGGCAGGTCCTCTGGAGAAGGCTCCTGATGTAAACAGAAAACAGAAAAGCTGTCAATCTTTAAGACTGTGCAACGAATCCAATTTAGAATCATGATTTTAATTATGACATGTTTTAATTATAGGTTTAAATTGTTACAAATATGAAACGTAACTGAAAAAACAATTAGGGGACTAATTCCCCAAACCTGGAACAAAGCCAACTTTCTAATCTAAAGTGGCTTTAGGAAACGTTCAGTCTTTTTGACTGAACATTTCCTTTAAAGAGCGGGTTTTAGGGGTGTTCTCACTTGGCAACACATAACATATTTAGATCAACATGGAACCTTTTATTTAGTTGAAAATGACACAAAACAACATATTAACATGTTTTATAAATTTCATTTTCATTTTTAACATTCTGAGCTCCTTACATTAAGTCACTCCCCCTTCAGAGCAATATCACAACACAATCAATGTGCAGCCATTTGTATTTTTCTATATGTATGGAGAACTGCTGTGTGGGAGAAAGGGTGACGTAGGATTATGGGCAAAGCCTTGGACAGTATCTTGACCTGTAAGCAGGATCTCAATTAGCCAGGCTGGCGCCACCTAGTGCCTCTGCTCAATTTCATTTCTCTCCAGCGACTAGGTCAGGAATCAGAATATACTAGAAGGTCTGCAAGAACCTCAGAAGTTATAGACGGCGCACCGACCAATCAGCGAAGAACTGAAACCATCACGTCAAACTCGTCGCTTCTGTCTGTGTCCCTTTTGTAGAACAGCACAACAGTAAACAAAGCGTTGAGATGGATGTAGACGAAGACAGACATTCTGTGTTGTCAACGATTCCTGGTATAGACGATTTAAAGCCAGAACAAAGAGAATGTTTGGTGAATTTTATGAAGGGGAAAGACGTTATTGTCCTTCTTCCTACGAGATTTGGTGCATTACATACGTCACGACCGAATAGCAGTGATTGGTTAAATAAAAAAAGTACCTGCCTACTGTCGAGTGAACGAATCCTAATGCTGCGAGGTCAGACGGTGATGAATCAGGTTAGGTCTGAATAGGGCCTGGGACAGATTGCTAAATTACTGAAACATCCATGGGTGACATCTAAAAACCTCTTCAGGCATGTTTTTGATGAGGGATCGACTTCGTAACATGATGATTTTGTATAATACCTCTTATTTTAAATGTGAACTTTGAACAGAATCCTATAATAAAAGATAAATTGCAAATTTAATCACAATTGCAATGCTTGTCAAAAAAAAAAACCTTGACTACATATATATATTTATTTTTTATCTCCTATACCACCTGTGGCCATGTTCTGTAAATGAAACTAGAGCCAGGATAAAGGAGCAGTGTGATCAAAGCTTCAGTGCACCCTGCCTGTATGAGCCTCTGTTCTGATGTTACAGCCTGCTCTCTTTGTTCCCTTGTCTTTTGATAAACCCGCTCTTGTAAAACATTGTACATTTCACACCACTTTGTTCCTCTGCAAAGCCCACAGCCCAGAGAACATGTCCTCTGATCTGTTTCATTCACAAAAACCTTCAAAACGTCTCTCATGTTTTTCAAATGTGTTCAGTAATAATTGTTCCAGCCACTTGACCAGTGCTTTCAGACTGTGGAACATCTCAACAAGACACTTTTGATTATTAGTTTAACATTTTGTGGAGATAACCTAGGGGTGGGTGATATATCGATATTTTGAATATATCGAGATAGTTTTTAAACTCGATATGAATTCTGACATATCGTATATATCGATATAATGCTTATACTCAATTTAGATTTCGCGGCTTCGCTTGTTTACCTTCTCTCTCGTCGCCTCCCTGATTTTGTTCGCTCGTGTCTCATTCACTCGTCACTATCGCCCTGAACGCCCAAAGTTGGTGCTAGTGAAAAACTTCAAGCACCATGAACCTTTTCCACCATTTACAGACAAAACCACCAGCAGCACATCCTCATGTTCCACCGAGTCGCGTCCTTTAGCCTGAAAGAACCTGAACGAGCTGAGCTGCATGAGAAGTGCTGTTTATGCAAATGAGCCATGATCTTAAGTTTCGTTTCTGTAAAATGTAAACACACGTGCGCAAAACTGCATTAAACACATTATTATGTCAAACGGGCTGATGTGGCTCTAGAGTCGTTATGTTTTATATATTGTAAAGTTTAGTCATGTAAAGTTTATTTATGCAGAATATTTTAATGAATAATCTGCTGCAGTGTCACTTGTACAATAGTGTTTGGAAACGTTGGGTTTGATCTGCAGTGGATTGTGGGATTAAACCTCAGAGCTCCTCACTGCTGGATAATAACATGGATCTATTGAAATAAGGAACATCCTGAGCTTCTTCTGCTAAATGAGCTCATGGTTCTGGTTCTGGTCTGGATAACAGAGTTAATGCAAAGATGAGCTTGTGTTGAGTTGTTTTATTTATGAATGAAAAGAATGAAATATGTTTTATTTCTTTTATTTTACAGTTAAATTATTATTTATGTAATTAGGATTTTTTGTCATCTTAAATGTTCCTATATGAACTGCCGACCTCTTACACTTCAATAAAAAAAAAAAAGGACCTTGTGGAATTTGGCAGATTTGTTGTTGCAGTTTTCAGTTTTAGGGGGTTATTTTTTCTTGAACATATATTGAGATATATATCTTACATCGAGATATAGCAAAATATATCGAGATATATTTTTTGATCCATATCACCCAGCCCTAAGATGACCTGAGTTTTTTTCAGCAGATATTTGTATCTGATGTGTTTTAACCAGTATATAAATGTGTCAATATTTTAAATTCATACTGTAAAAACACACACCTTAATTGAATAAACACTGGCTAAAGGCGTTTGTCATATTGTGGAACATTCGAGACATGGAGACAGGCAGGTGGTGGACCCTCCCGCCAGAAAAGTTACACGGTGCACCTTAAACTGAACAGCAGTTTGGTCCAGTTTAAAAATGCTTCTCTCTGGTAAAAACATGATGAAGTGTAGATCATATTTGGTTGTGCGCTCAGCCTGTTCTAAATATAATCTCAGGAGCAGAGAGTTCTCCACAGTCTCTTCTGGCTTTGGTGCATCTGCAGCAGTGAGTCACGGGGCTCTGCTGTGGCTCTGACTGAACACTAAACTCACACTAAACTCACACGCACTATATCACCTGCTCTGCTTCTCTACAGGCGCTGAGATGACCAGTAAAGCCTCACCGTGTACTTTTCTGTTTGAGGAGGTAGAACTTGCAATCCTCCACACCGTAGTCAGTGTTGGGAAGGTGACTTTTAAAATGTATTCCCCTAAAAGTTACAGATTACATACACCAAAATGTAGTTTGTATCATAATCCATTAAATTACTTAAAGTGAGTAACGTAATCTGAATACTTTGGATTACTTGATATTGTCATGCTTTTTAAAACTACATGAATGTAGCAACGACATCCTGCAAATTCTTGTTTGTTCTCTTCAAATTGTCTGTTGAGCCCAAGTCTCCATGAATAAGAAACAGTTTGCTGTAAAGTAGCAAAGACTAGGAAATCTGAACATAAGATGTTCTGTCTGTTTAAAGACAATAAAAAGTCTTTCCTTAACCATATTATTGATAGAGAAATGCTTTATATATGAGATCACTGGTTTTAGACCTGGTTTAGTCCTGGTGTTAGTTCTGGTTTAGAGACTCACAGGAGGAAGTGTGGTCTATGCAGTGTACGTGAGAAAACACAGTCCACACGTGACGCATGGGAGGACGTCGGTGTCCGTGCAGTAACTACAGAAGAAGACATGGTCCACGCGCTTCCAGGTTGATGATGATGAAGATGTTTGTGTGTGTCCCCTCATGTCTCAGGTCTATATGACAGTAGTGCAGATTTCATGAGTCTGTGCAGTTTGTTTTCACCAGTGTCAGTGGCTCCGGTTTGACATTTAACTTGTAGGCAATGTTATATTTGTTATTTTCTTTTATATTTCACGTTGGGAGAAGAATTTCCAAGACACGAATGTGTTTTTACCTGTGCACTGTTGACTCTGTTCTACTGGCTCTTCCACCTCGTCCATTGTGCGACTGACGCCGCCAACGTGAACATGACGTTTACATCGCTCTTACTGTCGCGTTCTGTGTGGGTTTCCGGCAATGAGTGGAATTACCAAAATAAAAAAATTAACTAGAAAAGCAGTCAGAGAGCGCAGACCTCCGCCAAGGACTACCCCCATTTTTTATATAAATTGCGATAAAATCAGTCTTCTGGATCAGATCCGGATCAGCCTTTGGAATATGAAAGAGGATCCCATTGTCCATCCCTGAGTCAAATTTCATGGGGTTTGGTCAATAATTAACCGAGATATTGAGAAACAAAATTTTCGGCCCCATTTACCACAATGTTAACTAAAATTTCAAAGTGATCCAGAATCCAGGATTTCTTCCGGATCAGCCCCAAAATGAAATCAGTTCTTCCTTTTCACATTTCCAACAAATCCTGAAAATTTCATCAAAATCGGTCCATAACTTTTTGAGTTATGTTGCTAACAGACAAACAAACAAACAAACAAACAAACACACAAACAAACAAACAAACAGACAAACGCCGGCAAAAACATAACCTCCTTGGCGGAGGTAATAAATGAGATGTAGCACAAAATGTGAAAACAGGAAAATACCGCCTTGTAATCCATTTATTTCAGCAAAGTAACTGTAATCCAATTACCACCCACTGAAACAGTAACTGTAACTGAATACAGTTACTCATAATTTGTACTCTGATTACGTAACGCCGGTACATGTAATCTGTTACTCCCCAACACTGCTCGTAGTGATAAGATACTATTGTAGACAGACCGGCAGACAGTCCCCTCTGACCACCACAACACACACACACACACACACACACACACACACACACACACACACACACACACACACACACACACACACACACACACACACACACACACACACATCACATTTATCTTGGCAATGTGGGTGAAGTGTGAAGTGAGAATGAGCACTGACAGCAGGTATGACCACACGATGATAGTACAGTACAGCAGCTCTTATAGAAGCTCGTGGTGTCTTGATACTGTACTGTGCATTATGTGGAGGAGGGAGTCACTTTGAAATGCACGGGGTTTGTATTGGTAAGCACAAATGAAGCCGGGCTGCTTGCGTTCAGAGGAAAGCTGCAGAGTGGTGTGAAATGTGCTGAAGGGGCAGAGTGAGTGGACAGTGACTCCCACAGAGACCGAGGACATTCAAGGACTCAACCACAAACTGTGTTCAGTGCTAGAAAAGAGCACCACTGTGCAAATCCACTAGAAAGTGAATCCGTTTTAGTTTTCTCCTGTTAAGTTTCAAGATACGTGACAAGACAACAATTGTGGAGTCGTGTCCTTTGCGTTCCCCTCTCACCCTCCCGTCCGTACATCTGCACTGTAGCTGGTGTATTCTGCTCCTCTCCTCAGACCCATGAGCTGAATTTGTGCTGAAGACTTTGAGATCAAACCAAAAGTGCACCTGCTCTTTGCTTTACTTCCCCACACGTGCTTCTGCTCAGCAAATCTGCCCCTATGGTGACAGAATAATGTACTTTTAAATCATAGTTTTACTTGACAAAAATGCATAGAATTCTTTGGGTTGTAGTCGTAAAAAAAAATCTTGAGCAACTAAAGACTCTGCTGTGCATCGACTGTGACTCTGTGACTGAAACTCCCCACTGTGTTTGGTATGTCCAGTCTCAGTCTATTGAAGGTGCAGACTGTGACGCCAGATGACTTTTTTTTTTTTTTACAGTGTCTTACGGACGTCCAGTATTGACGTTTGTTTTTCCTGTAGTGATGCAGAAAAGAGGAGTATGGAGTAAGAAAGCTGTCAAAAATATTCGTGCGCATAAAATAGAAATCCGTGTGTATTTGGGTAAATCCGTGCATATTTGGCTGTAGTTGCGCATAAAATAAATATTTGTAAACTCTCAAATGAGTCCAGTCGTACATAAAATATATTGTGTGTATTTTATCCATCAGAATACGAATTGAAAAATTACGACGTCATGAATTACAATCACGAAATGAAAATTTACGATTACGCTTTCATCAGTACGAATACGAATTCACAGACGCGACTTTACTGTCAAAAATACGTCATCATTTCACAGACATTATCCATCGAGCAGAAGAAACATCGATCAAGATCAAGACTGCGCAGCTCAAGTTTGTAGCAGAGTAAAAACAGAGTAAAAGCACAAGAAGCTACAACAGCGACCAACAAGTGGGTTCATTAAAATCTATTGTAAAAATGTCTTGAATTCGGGAACCAAACGCTGCTGTATAATATTGTGTAGAAACACCTCCTTTGAACGGGAAATTGCACCTATATGTTAGAAAACATAGTGGAGCCAGTTGGCCAACATCCAACGTAACGTTATCCCAGGGCTAATTAGCAAATATCAGGTTCTCTGTAGGTTTAGATTAAAACATTCACGACTACAGCCACAGCGAGCATCAGTCAGTCTTCACTTCAGCTGCATTTCAGACAATGGGTTTTTCATGAGTTATAATGGGTTATAATGAGAAAATCCATCCACGTCACGGTGACGTTAAACTTACCGGTAAATACTGTAAACATACCAAGGTGTTGCCTGTAAACACGAACATTAATTGATGCTGGAAGCTGCATTAAACTGTAATGTGTAACATTTCATTGGCTGTGACGTCTGTAACCAGGACAGTTTGGTAGTGTTTGGTGTAAACTGGGACATTTCAGCGTCCCGAGGAACTTTTGGTGGCATTTCATGCGAGAAATGAAACACCTCCTTTGAACGGGAAATTGCACCTATATGTTAGATAACATCGTGGAGCCAGTTGGCTAACATCCGACGTAACGTTATCCCAGGGCTAATTCGCAAATATCAGGTTCTCTGTAAGTTTAGATTAAAACATTCATGACTACAGCCACAGCGAGCATCAGTCAGTCTTCACTTCAGCTGCATTTCTCGCATGAAATGCCACCAAAAGTTCTTCGGTCCTGTCCTGGTTACAGACGTCACAGCTAATGAAATGTTACACATTACAGTTTAATGCAGCTTCCAGCATCAATTAATGTTCGTGTTTACAGGCAACACCTTGGTATGTTTACAGTATTTACCGGTAAGTTTAACGTCACCGTGACGTGGATGGATTTGCTCATTATAACCCATTATAACTCATGAAAAACCCATTGTCTGAAATGCAGCTGAGATGAAGGTTCAGACTGACTGATGTTCGCTGTGGCTGTAGTCGTGAATGTTTTAATCTAAACCTACAGAGAACCTGATATTTGCTAATGATCCCTGGGATAACGTTACGTCGGATGTTGGCCAACTGGCTCCACTATGTTTTCTAACATATAGGTGCAATTTCCCGTTCAGAGGAGGTGTTTCTACACAATATTATACAGCAGCGTTCGGTTCCCGAATTCAAGACATTTTTACAATAGATTTTAATGAACCCACTTGTTGGTCGCTGTTGTAGCTTCTTGTGCTATTACTCTGTTTTTACCCTCTGCTACAAACTTGAGCTGCACAGTCTTGATCTTGATCGATGTTTCTTCTGCTCGATGAATAATGTCTGTGAAATGATGACGTATTTTTGACAGTAAAGTTCCGTCTGTGAATTCGTATTCGTACTGATGAAAGCGTAATCGTAAATTTTCATTTCGTGATTGTAATTCATGACGTCGTAATTTTTCAATTCGTATTCTGATGGATAAAATATAAAATACACACAATATATTTTATGTACGACTGGACTCATTTGAGAGTTTACAAATATTTATTTTATGCGCAACTACAGCCAAATATGCACAGATTTCCCAAATATGCACGAATTTCTATTTTATGCGCACGAATATTTTTGACAGCTTTCTTACTCCATAGAGGAGCCACTGTCTGTGTGAATGTTCATGTCTGTGGGTCAATGGATCCGAAGTGGGATTCAAACCACCAACCTTCAGATCAGTGAACAAACACTCTACCCATTGAGCTACACTGCTGCCCGCCACTGCTGTCCTTTTAGACTGTTTTTTTTGGTTGAACTCATAGGCCCATAGAATTATAATCATTTTTTGTATGAATAGGCTATAATTTTCCACAAATTGCATTTCCAAATAAATAAACATACATAAATGCCTCAATTGGTTAATTAAGCAGATAATAAAATATCATGTACTCAAATAAATAATTAATAATAAATGTTTAACCAAAAATAATCAAAATTAATATTAATAAATAATATTGCTAACCACAATGTTGGTATTTGTCTTTTTTTGTTTGTTTTTTAAGTATTATATTCATTATTAACATCATTTCACTTGTGCGTGTGTTAGACGTCTGCATGACGTCCAAAAAAAGTCGCCTAGTCTGCGGTTCAAATGTTTAACTGCAGACTGACGTCCAAGGGGGGTCAGAGTGAGACATATAATAGACAAATAACGGACATAATTTGCACCTCATTTAGTCCAGAATTGGTCTTGGACCGACAGACATAGTATACACATGATCTGCATGTCCATAAGACGCCTAATGTTTAGTGTGTCTGTGTAGCAGCATTCTGAGAGCTTTAAAAAATAACTTAAAGAAGTATTAGAAAACAACATCTGTGAAAAGGCAGTCCCCATAAAACTTAGACTGTGACAAACTTTATTGACCTCAGATAACTCTCTCCATGCACTATTTTTTCAGCTTTGGTCCATAAAATCTTCATAAAATGAATCAAACTATTGGTTGTTTAATTTAGAAATTGGTTGACTGAGACACGATCGACCCGTGTATCACTTAAAGCACCAAAAGATCACAGCCTTAATCATTTAGTCATAGCTTTGGTCCTTCTTCTTACTTTTTATTTGTGTTTTTACTATAAGATCAGAATATTTGACAGACTGACCGCTTGCTCCTTGAGGCTGAGTCCGTCTCCGTTGGGCAGAGAGGACCTTCTTCTCCGTGAGGGTGAGCGTGTGGACCTCCTGTGCACCTTCAGGACCTCACAGCACGCCTGGTCCTCGTTCAGAGCACTCTTCCCCGCGTTGATCACC